GGGGGGCGTAGTCATTTGTTGCTTGCCGTAGTCATTTGACCATTGACCACGCGTCCCTTTTGAGACGGAGCACCGTTCCTACCCCTACTAGAGACACCACCAACATTTGGGAGCTCTTTACGTTTCTGCCACAAACTCCATAAAAATTTCTTGCACATCTTATCCCCGTCCTCTAGGGCCTCTTGTGCCCACCATCTATCCCCAATTATCGCGATCGTTTTTTCAGCTGTTGTCTAATTTACCAAACTTGTCCATGTCACACCCTCTCTGTCTCATTTCCTCCTCGAGATCCTCTCTTTCCTTCCTGTACAACTCACACTCCCCAACTATGTGGGGTCTACTCTCCTCCGATTTGTCACATGGACATGTGTGTCTATCCTCCTCTTCCTCTCTCCTACGGCTGGTATACCTCTTCCTCCGTTCTGGCAAGTCCAGATCGCCTACTCGAAATTGCAATTTCAGCTTTTTCGCGTAGTCCATGGGGCCGTCCAAGTACGTCTTCATCCCTATCCCTTCTTTCAACTTCCCGTATATCTCCAAGTGGTCTTCGCTTCGTACCTTCTTCCGAAGGGTTGCCTCCTCCCTACTTTCTAGCATCTCCTTGACTTTCGTCTTGAAGCCCCCGAACCCTTCCGTGTCCAACGTCTCCTCCTCGTCTCCTATCTCCTTCCAAACCTTCTCTACCACCTTGTCCCATCTGATTCCCTTCTTCCCTGGAGTCGCTTTTCCCCAAGCTGCCTTGTCGACCATGGCTGGTAGTCTATCGTCCGACATTCTACCTACCTTGTACGGCCAATTCAACTTCACCATGTCTCTCTTTGTTTTAAGAGAGTACATTCCCAATTCTGCTCTCAATACAGTGTTGCTCGTTGTACTTGAACATCCTAGTATTTTCTTGGCCGCTGCCATCTGCACCGTTTCCAGCTGCTTGGCGGCCTTCTCGTTACCTTCCCATACCTCTCCTGCATACTCTAGCTTAGGTACAATCACATTCAAGATAATACACCTCTTAATCCTAGTGTCTAGGTGTGGGTCCGTAAGGATCTCGTCCATCTTGCCTATCTGAGCTTTACCCTTCCCAATCAACTTCGCTATGTGTGCGTCCCATGAGCACTCCTTCGAAATCTATTCTCCCAGGTACGTATACTTGTCTACTACCGGTAGTTCTTCCTCCCCCCATTTCCATTTGAATTCTACGGGATTTTTCTTGTCTTCGTTACAGACCACTACTGCGCATTTTCCTACGTTCGCCGACAGTCTCCATTTTCGGGTGTATCCTACCGCCGCATCTAGTTGTTCTTGCAACCCTTCTGGTGTTTCGGATACCCCCACGAAATCATCTGCAAACATCAGTCCGGACACACTCTTTCCCCCTACTTGGACTCCCTGTCTTACTGCTTCAACCGCCCTTATCAAATCGTTGATGTAATTCTTAAAAAGAGTGGGTAACATCGTACAGCCCTGTGCGACTCCTTGGAGTATATCCACGTACTTCGAAATTTCCCCATCCAACATCACCGCACTTGTTGTGCATTCTGTCATCTTTTTCATCATCCTCCACATGTTCCCCCGGATGCCGATGTCCCACATCTTTTTCCACGATCCATTGCGCCATACGGTGTCGTAGGCTTTTTGTACATCTAGGAAGAAACAGTACGTCGTACGCCCGACGTCTTTCCTACCTTGGATAATTTTACTCAACGTATATACATGGTCTACACAACTACGATCTGGTCTAAATCCAGCTTGTCTTCGCTGATCTTTTGCTTCCCCTCCCACATGTCTCCCATTCTATTGTCTATTGTCTGGGGGGGGGGGGGGGGGGGGGGGGGGG